GAAAGAGTGGTGGTGGAAAACCCTTTGTCCAGGGTTGGACACACACACACATATATATATATAAATAACATTGTAATATAATATATATATATATAACATAATATATATAGTATACACGCGCTATATGAGGCAATGCCTAGCTCAGAACTGCTCAAGCCACCAGGGGCGCTGTCCCGCCACGCGGCGTCCCGGCCGACAGCAAAGTGGAGCAGCTCGCCTTCGGCGCTTTCCCGCTCCAAAACGAGAAGCTCGTGGCGCGCCCGTAGGGCATCGCATTTAAAAGCTGAAGGCCACCCGGCTTGGTCAAGCCTCCACATTATGCTGATGACTCAAGTGCGTAAATAAATAAATATGTATTCTTTTTAGTTTGGTGCTGTGGTTCTGCAAGAAAGTTTGCTTGCGACACTCCCTTCGTATCGTATTCATTCTTTGTTATTCGGACATGCCAATGCTGTCGGACTTCTGGCCTCAGCCGCGTTTTCAAACGCCAGCGATAGCCATGAGCCGCTTGAGCTTGGGCTTTTGGCGATGCTTTGGACTTCAAAGCATCGTCCAGCCAACACGTTATGCTCCGGTTTCCCCTGCCGTTGGTTTCATCCTGTTGGCCTGGCCTTTTAGGCCAATTCAAGATGTTAAGATGATGCCAAGACAAGATCCGTCTTATACCTATACGTGACAATTTGCAGGAACGGAATCATGTCCCGGTGAAGCCCAATGTGATTTTTTCTGAGAAGTTGCGGGGCCTGCTCCCGCTTCAGGGTAACGACGCTGGTCACGGCGCTGGTAACTGGCCTTGGTGGCTTTGAAAAGCTCCTAGTCGGCCTCGCGGCCTCCTCCTCGATTTGTTTGCTGAACAAAGCATCTGACAGCTGAACAAAGCACAACTTCTTCGCACTTGGCGAGTGCCTTGCATTTCCCTAGGGTGAGACAGCTTGGCAGCAAAACCTTTATATACTGCAAGTATCTGCAAATTTGCAAGTCGCAACCTCTGATTGGGGAAAAACCAATCAACAAAGCAAGCACCCAACCGCACAGTCGCTGCCATCCGCACGGCTCGTGCGCTGAAACAATTAGCTTCACTTGTCAAAGCTTGCGGCGACCCTCGTGCCGCACGGCTCGTGCCGCCTGACCAGTCAACACGAGAAATGTCACACAACATATATCCCTGTCGACCTTCAACCTGCAAAGGGCCGTGGGGTGACGCTTGACATGTTGCGCTTGACGTATCGGGAGGTAAACTTTGGGATGATGATGTCTCTCACATGGTGCCAGTGGAGTTCATGAAAGGAATTGTTGACCGGGGGCCTTTACTGATTGATTTCTGCTTTGACTGGAGCCCACTGTCGTATACAGGTGTGTGCCACAGCCTTAAACCGTCCAGACCTCCTCGTCCAAACAAGTCTCGGCGTCCGAACCCCGGAAGCCACGCAATTCCGCCCCGGACGTCCGCGCGACGTGAAGCCCCGGACGGTCGTCGCCTCGCGCCTCGTCAGACGCCCGCGTTCTTCAGCTCGAAATTCCTCGGCGCCGTCCGTCGAGTCCGTTCGTCCGCCGTGGGGTTGGCGTAGCCAGCCGTTCCATGCCGGACGATCAACAAACGTGCCGGTGGGTGTTCAGATGCTTTAGGGGGACAATCTAGGTCAATACCACCGTACATGCTACCGTACATGGACTGTTGGGGATGATTCAATTTGTTTGTTGTTTTTAACTCTCTCCCTATACCTCCAAGTGCTTCCTCAAAATGTCTTTGGACCCACCAAGACCCACCTTCGAAACGAAGGTACGACTGGAGGCCTAGGGTCTATGAACCAAAACTGTTGGCCGGTCTGAAACATCTGTTATCATCTCTTCATGGTCAGATGTCTCCTCCGTAGACAAAGGTGTTCACCCATTTTTCCACCGGACGTCGGTCCCGCACGCACACGCGAAGGACCGAGGTCTTTGTGGACCTTTCCAGACCTTTCTTCTGAGCAAGGATCGAAAGCGCCTTCTCCTTGAACATCAACACTCTCTGATACTTTGCCTGCACCACAATGCGAGGGCAAAGCTGTCAAGGAGCTCACCTTTGTGTTGCAACACCTTCATGAGTTAATCAAATTAAACATGTTCCCTCAAGTAAGAGCTGCTGAACATCATGTTCCAGATTGTTCCAGTCCCTTCTGACCTTCCAAATCATGTTCCGTTTCTTGAATGCTGGGATGGGTTGTCAAATGTCAGTATACAGCGACGCTCTGTGGCCAGCCCGTCCCTTGAGAGCTATTTTTCCCAAATGCGTCTTGAATCACCGTACAATGTTCACCAAAGACTGCTCACTTCCGGACACTTCCGGTCTTTGTCAGATTAGCACTGGCACCCACAGCTCACCCCCCCCCATGGCGATCGGTCGCGCAGCGCATCCCCCCGCGCCAGATCGCTGCCCGTCATGAGGCGCTCGGGCACGGTGTCTGTGGCGTTCACCTTCACGATGCCACGCACCAGGTTCAGCCTCAATCGGTCGGGCAACAGTCGGATGGGACGGGAAGATGGTGGAACATGGAGAAGAGTCAGTGAAAAACTGGACACCACTGGATAAAGCAGCATATAGGTTCACAAACGTTGTATGCAGTGTCTAGATCTATACATATATCATGATAGATTGTAGTTATATAGTTCCTCATTCACCCCCAGCGGTTCAAGTCCCTCCTCAGAAGGTAGACTGATAGCTGGCAGCTGGAACCCTAGGGTCACATAGGGCCTCTTAGTTTCACAGTTGCAACTTGAAGCAAGACGTAGATTCTCAGATGGCATGATCGCCAAGTGGAGGGCCCCAGTGTTCGCTCCACAGGTGCTGGGGTTGATATAGCCTGCTAACCTCCAGTAACCCGGATCTATTCTTGGATGTTGGAAGGTAACCATCCAGCTGTGGGCCTTTTCAGCCCTAGAGGACACCAATCACCAAAGTGGATATTACATCCTGTAACCGTTCAACATCTGACCGGCCAGCTTCTGCCCATCAAACAACTGGCATGACAACTGGCATGATCAACGCCTTTTCCTGTGCTTGTTTTTACCACTTCACACCTTAAAATCTCTTTTCCAAACAAGATTAGACCAGTAAGCCACCCCCGCCACCAAAAAAGAAACACAAAACACGGCACCCCATGCCGTGTTCGCCGCTCCAACCACCGTGTTGCGCCGCTCCAAGCGGCACCTCCCCCTGCGCCGTGACCAGCGCCGAGCGGGCGGCGCTCACGGCGTCGCGCTCGATGCGCTGCTTGTCGGCCTGGCCCTTCTGCTGGATCACGGTCCTTGGGACGTCGGTCACGTCCCGACGCGGCGGGTGAATCGGTCCGAGGGTGCTGAACCATGCGCCGCGGCGACATGAAGAGCGATGGGAAGAAGACGAACGGCGACATGAAGCGGAGAAGTCGTCAGAAATCATTAGGGGAATTGTGAAGATGAGAATTGGAATCAGTCAGGTCTGCAGGTGGCAGGTGACCCGCCCAAACTGACAATGTAGCAAAGGAAACAGCTTCCAAATCCGCAGTGTAGAAGCTATGATTCTTGAGCTACCGTAGCAGGCTTCGTACAAAAACATGTGACAGTGCAATGTTTATAAAAATACCGAACCCAAACGTGCCATTCTGTGCTCCGAACCTGGTCCAAACCGCAGGGAAGCTGGGGTACTTCAGGGAATGCACCGTCAAGAGCACGTGAGCCAACATGAATTTGCAGCGGTCGTACGACGAGCCCAACGAAACCGCCCAACGCAACTCCGAGCTGCACATTGGCGACCTGAGAACGTGAAGCATCTCTGGAGAGTGAAGCCATGCATGAGGAAAAGTGTGCATGAGTGCTGAAATGCATGAGAATGAGACCTAAATGGGAACATGTGGAACTGTTGGTAGCAACCCAGCAACCCTTTGTTTAGCTATGGTTTGTGCGTTGACATGGGAGATGCTGTGGGATACTCCCGACTCACGAGTACCCACTACTCCTGAGTCATCTGCGCCTAGTAATAATTTTTGTATAATCGGGCTTCTATGCAGTATGCCGGTGACCGTCTGCCGGCTCACATTGGCTCAATAGAAAAGAAGACAGGAACCCCCAATTCAGCCAGCCAGCTCGCCAACTCGGTGATGCCGAGTCATCGTGTGGTTGATTCTGAAGTCTGACCCCTTGGTACGCCCAATGAATGTCACCCCTTGTGGGTGTCACCCCATATGGTGTGATACCATTGGAATCTCTTGGGGCATTGGTTCCCAAACCCTCCAACTGCAGGTTTGCGACATACTCTGCCAGGATGACTTCAGTCTTCTGGCGGTAGGTGGTCTGGGTCTGTCTTGCCAAAGCCGTCTCTTCTGCTTGCTTCCTAGCTCTCTCTTCCGCCCGGCGGCGTGTTCCAACAACCGCGCTGATAACCACGGGAAGTCTTTATTCTGCGTCGTTGTGCAAACAACTTATATACATGCCACAAGCACTCTGAATCAATAACATGAAGAAGAACCATCCTGAAACCCATGGAGAAGTGGCGGCAAAACCACCTGATAAAAACATTGCACACCAACCACATCCAAGTGCAGATCAGCTGGGTCCTCACTTGGGTCCGGATCAGCTGGTTCTCATACTCCACCTGCAAGCGGATGCCCCAGAGTTGAAGGCCCCAGCCTCATTCGCCACGATCACGGGGCGGAGCTATGGAACGGGGCGGCTTTGGAACGGAATGGATCATCGAAAAGGAGCGAGGGACTTCCACATCTGAACATACTATATTTGTGTATATACATAATATATATATATATATATATATGTGCTCAACAACTGACATACAAACAACCAGAAAATCCAATTGACGAGCGGACTCATGATACGTTCAGCGACTATGCTGGAAAAGCTACAAGGCCAAAAAGAAAATATTCTTGCCCTGTTGCATGATACCCATGGGGTCAGCCATGGATCGCAAGTGTGCATGGGCGGTCTGAGTCTATAGCCAGCTACCTAAGAATTACCGTTTTATAATCACCTTCTATACAAAATAATTAAGACGATACCCGGGCATTGCAATGTTAAACAGGAAATTGCCAAGGGAATATCATTTAAGACCTTTTAAGCATTCCAATATCCAAGTTTCACGCTTTCAAGAGATGTGCCGCTATCATGTAAGGGATTCACTCTCCTTCTTCCCCACCCCCGGCGCCCCCCACTAACATGCTCTCTCTCCGAGAGGCAGTCGGCATGGCGAACGGTGAGCACTTCCTTGCAAATGTCGTGCATCTTCTTCTGCACCGTCGCGTAGTCCTTCCAGGCCTCCCGGGATCGGTCGAGCGACAAGAGCCGACTCGACCCAGATCGGATCCGTCGACCCGTGGGGTTCAAAGATCGGAGGGTTATATCAAAGCTTAATAAGACCGGGCTTGGGCATGTCAATCGGGCTGTGCACCTCCACGTTTTGGAGGTCAACCTCCAGCCCCTGTCGCCCGGACCCTGGTCGAACACGACGTGCCGCCCTTTCCGCCTGGTCGATGGTGAACTCGTTGGTGACCCGTTGCAGGGCCCCGCGGAGCTCTGAGATGTACACGTCTTCGTAAAGCTTCGTCATCTCCCTGACCCGGGTCACCCGGTGCCGATGAACAGTGCAACCGGTGTGGGGCAGTGCAACGGTCATGAAGGAATAGGCATCAGTTCGACTCGGTGGTTTTCAGAGTAGATGGCACAAACGAAACAAGATGTCTTTTAGATGGGCTGGGGGTCCATATAAACCACCTTTTGGATGGGGATTGTGCCATCTACTCTGATGGCCCTTGCTCGAACGTTGAGGGAAAGTTCAATCGAACCATATGGATCCCATCCTGTTGGCACCTGGCTCAAACCCTCGACATAGGAGCAGGAATGGCAACGTATGGCGAGGTGCCGCCCCCCAGGACGTATAGCAACACTGAGAAAGTCAAGCACTGATAAGCACTGGGTACAGGTTTGCAAGGGAGGGGCTGAAGGGGAGCGCTCATGCATTAAAATTAACACACACAATATGTAACAACATTAAAGCACATATATATATTAATAAGTATCGATGCTGAATGCACAATTGCGAAATGTTGGGGTGCCGTGGCGTCTTCACAGTTCATTCTGGAAATCTGATGTTCCTTCCACCGCTCAGTTTTCACCCCACGTACCAAAGAAAGCACCATTCTCGGAAGGAAACGCCACAGGTGGGTACCTGTAAATCTGAGGCAGCTCCTGCGGGTAGATGCGGTACCTGCAGTCTCGGCCCGGACGAGGTCGAGAATCGGGCCCGTTTCTTTAACGTGTGTTTTATGGATACCAAAAACAAACGGTAGAAAAGACATCGTGGCAGTACAAAATGGAGATATGATATACATACCCCAAGGTGGGCTTGAACACCACCTGGTTGCGCTGGTTGTTTCTATTGGAAGATCCAAAAGTTCTCATTCCGCAACTCGACATGTCTTAGAATCTGGCTGAATCTTGTTTTGAGGTCCTGTGCGTCCTGTGTCTCTCTTGTGCTACCCTTATGGGACATGGTTGTCTCTCTTGGAGTGATCACACCAAGCCGCTGCACGGAGACATCCAGCCAAATCTGTTTGCCATCCTTATCTCGGGACCTGAGCGGATGCGATGAAGCGATGCGATGAAACAAAGCTCAAGCTCATCTGATCCCACCAGATCCCACCTGATCCCAAGAAGAGTTGCATGTCCGGGTGATTTCAAGATGTCCAACATCTATTAGCAGATCTAGCAGCCATCTAGGCTTCCAAAGGTTTGTACATCAATTTGCGCCTTGGCTGACCCGTCGCCCGTTCAAGAATGGCCTGCAAGGGTCAATGGTGAAAACCCCTCCCCAACGGGCAGAACTGCTGGCATCCCTTCTGTCAACCAACCGTAACAAGGCTCGCTGCTCACAGATGTCGCAATCCCCAAATCGCCAGTGCAAGTCATTTTCCGGCGTCTGCCAAGCGGAACAAACATGGAACAAAAACAACTTCTTGTTCCTAGTAGTAAGGCCAGGAACTACGTTCGTAGCGTCCTTGCTCCTAGTATCCTAGTAGCGATGGCCTCCAACTTACTTGCGATGGTCTACACCTAACCGCGTCGGGTCCTCTGCTCCGTCAGACGATTCAATGACAGGCCTCCAACGAACGGCACGGTGGGTGTGGTGGCTCCGTCGCCAAGGGGCCTGAGCTTCCCAAGCATCTGCACGCCATCCTCTACCGCCTCATCGGCAAACTCCTCGGACGAACGCAAACGGAGGCGCGTGGGCACTGCAAGGAGCCACCGCGGGAACGATAAATGCGACAAATGGATACAAAAGAGCGCTGCAGTGGCTGAGTGGCCACCGAACCTATATATATTCTTATAGGCAAAAGAGCGCTGTAGTGGATCGCTCCGCTGTGGTCCGAACATATGGAACGAAGGGTTACGTAAAAGCTCTGGTTTTCCGTACCTCCGCAGGAGCCACTACAAATCACCACCTGTTGTACATGTCCTATGACAAACACACTGCCAGCGTCATCTTTTGAGGAGTCGGAGCTGTTACTAGCAAAGCCAGAAGCTTCAGGGTCCTTGAACTGCTGCCTACGAATACAGTGTAGTAGTTCACGTGGGGACTGGTTGGGCTGTGGCCATGTCAGGTATGGATCGTGGTCGGAACGGTATGGAACTAGCATTGGAACAAAAACTGCCTGCAGTTTCTGGGTACAGTGGAACATCCTAGACTATAGCATGCGTCAGTATCCATAAAGAAGCACTGTAGGCGACAGTCCTCCGAACACGCCAAGCGTAATTAGGCGGCAAACATTAGCAGACCATCGGCGTCGCTACCAGAGCTGCGGCTACCATCAGCTTGGAAAGGAAAGAGAAAGGGAAAGGGATTGGGAAAGAGACAGAGATAGCCAAAACGAAAGAGAGCGAGAGAAAAAGAGAGAGAGAGAGAGCGAAAGCAAAAGCGAGACCATGAAAGCCAAAAACAAGGGGCTGGCGCACCGTTCTGCCTTCGTCCGATCCATCCTGCTCCTTCCTCTTCTTCTTCCCCCTCCCCTCCCCTCCCCTCGTGTCGGCCGGTGCCCGGCTGTCTGGCGTAAGAAGCTTTTAATCCACTATGACACTAAAAGTCACTAAACCATTTCACAAGTGTAGATCAAGGGTATGGATCAGTGGATGGAACAGCTGTGGGCCCATGATTCAAATCATCTAATTTTGACTCGCTCCCATATTAATATTCATAAATCTTCTATCATTCAACTTCAGGGCATAGTATGCATGCAATTTGATTCCATCATGTAACAGCAAAACCCTCTCTTTCTGCCCGGCTAAGGCGCAGCAGCTCACAGCTCGCTTGGACCATGCATTTTGAGGGGCCAAGACTCGATCGTGTTCAGGGTCGTGGGGAAGTGCAAAAACTCGTGCCAGAAGCCCACAAAATATCCTCAGCCCATCGACTCGTCCTCTCGTTGAAGACACAAGTCATCCGGTTGCTGGACCGGATGACTTCGACATCCGATGCCCTTCGTGTCAAGTCGTGTCAAGAAAACACCGACTTGTAGCCCTTTCGAAGCGCCTACGGAACATAGGCGAGGCCCTTGGCCAGCCCACACAACACGAGCTGCATGCAGCAACCGCATCCCAAATCATCGGGAGCTGTTGGGAGAGTACTAAAATAGGACCTTTTCAGCATAGCTCGCATACTTCTCAGAACATCTTTCTCCAAGGTAACTTGGGAATCTTGGGACGCAGGGCCTCCGCTTCAGAGGGACAACGCCTGCATCGATATCGGTGCACCGCACCCGAGTTCGGAAGTGAGAAAATCAGCCAAGCCACGCCCAGGCAAGTAGGAGCCTAGGAGGAAACTGCAACAAACACAGGGGTAGGCAGCGGCCTGAGGCCTGCAGGAGTGGCCCCATCTGACAGACTCACCCACTCTTATACCATGAAAGTTCGAGTGATTCAGCCCGCCACAGACCGCCACAGCCCCTCCGGATTCCAAATGAAGAAAAGTGTCGGTGAAAAACACGCTGTGACATGTCAAAATCAAGCACTCCTAATTGCTTTAAGCCTAAATAGCGCCTAGAGATGAATTTCGATGAGCGGCTTCAAGCAATTGGTAAAAAGGGTGGAATTGAACATAGACCTCTAATAGGGCCTTAGAGAAGGGGACCCCAGGTCATACAGGTCCCCAGGATCACATGTGCGCATGGGGACCTGTATTCTGGGGGGGGTGAAGGGTGGCAAATGACCAATTGAAAAGTGTTGCCAAAATCAACTGTCAAATTATCCAGTGTTGCTTGGAATGCAAGAAATCATAGAAAGAAGGACACATGCATGAGTTGTGTTTTTGTGTGCTGGTTTGTAGTGCTGACTGAGACTGGTGCTCCCAACAGCTTTGTTCAAAATCGGACAATTTTGACCAGGGCAGGCTAAGCATGGGTTCTTATCCTGCTTCCTTATTAGAGCCTTAATAGGGCTAAATCTGCTTTGCCTTCCAAAGGAAATGTTTTGGTCAAAATTATGCAAAATCCACCAGCATGGTACTCATGATCCAAAAACTCTTAGTACCCTAAATGGGCCCGGATGTTGTGGACACCTTCCAATGTAGATATAGGCCACTCAGGGGCCTATTTCTAGCCTATCTGGTGTAAATCAAGGTTTTCACTAATTTGGCACTAGTTTGGCTTGGGGGGGCTGAGGGGGGGTACACTCGAACTTTCATGATCAGTGAGTGGTCCCCAAATAGATCGTGGCACCGTTTCCAATACATTGTTAGTGGGGATTCGGGATCTTCTTTCCTATCTCTTAGGTGGAATTTGCCTAATTTCAACCAAACAATGGCCTTTGGAAGCCAAAATAGATTTATATAGCCCTATTACTGTAAGGCTCTAGTAAGGAAACAGGGTCTATCTGATCAAATCTGCATTCGTATACCATTTCCTATCCCTCCTCCTCCCGCTTCAGAGCGGTTCTTAGAGGCTTGGCTCCCCGGCGTTCCAAGTTCACCTCTCCGGTGAAGCCATTCCGCAGCAAGCCCGCATTCAGCCGATTCACCTGCCGAACGTGGAACGTGGTTTGCCCTGGTTTTGGTTGTACTTCTTTTAGTTTTTCGCACCGTACCGTGGTTCGAGCCAGGAACATCTTGGGAGAGTGCTCCACCACTGGGTGACTGATGATTGGCTGGCCCCACGAGTAGGACTCGAGTTCCATCGCACCCCCCATGAGCCAGAGTGGTGGATGATGTATTTTTGTGACGTGCATGTGTTGAACATGTCGTCCAAACTCGAAAACTGCGGTTCTGGCAGTCATCTGGAGACCAAAAAGGTTTTTTTTTGAGGGAACCGGTCAATGCTGAATACTACAACCCAACTAAATCCTCATCTGCAGCCCTGTGGCCAGGGCCGAGGGAGCACCCCGCATGATCCTTTAAATCGTCCTTGCCGTTAGCAAGCGCTGATCTACACAATGCACAGAATGGACTTGGATGAACAGTTCACTTCGCATTCATTCTTAAGATTGCTAGCTAACGTATGCATGTATGCTACTGAGCACATTTGAACACCACATGAAGCGCCAGGCCGTCACAAAACGCAGTCCGTCGCGAAAACGCCTGCTGGAAGGACGTGAGAAGGAGAATGAACACCACGAAGAACGTACAGGAGCAGCAGCAACAGCAGCATTTTTTCTGGCGGAACGTCAGATTCCATCCCACGACGGAATCCGTGGATGGAGGAAACAACACACAGCCACATGGTATTCTGGCAGCAGGTTGTGGCCCGAAACGGCAGTGATGGCTGCATAGAAAGCAGTGTGCTTACATGTTGAAACCTAATCAACTTAACTTAACTATCTTTGGGGGGGCTTTGAGCCTGAACAACACATTTCACAGAATCCTCGAAAACAATCTCATCTAAACCCTCCAAAATGGGAGGCTCAAGAATGTTCGGCCCCGCGCTGGTTACCAAACATTGCCACAAGGGGCTCCTGGTGACAGTCTATGTTGACCCTCCGGTCACTTGCGAAGGTTCAAAGGGTCACCTATTTTTCCAACCCCCCGACCCTATTTTTCCAA